AAGAAAGGTTGTTAAAAATAATAATAATAATAATAAATTTTTAAATATGGCGGCCGAATTCTAACGGTGACGCGTGGAAAAAAAATGAAATTTGTCGTTTGTTCCAAATTTTTTTTTTTTCTGATTTGATTTCATTTGGCGTTCGAATTAAGTGCTTTTTTTTCTAATAGATTTATTATTATTATTATCGTGACCGTTATTATTATTATTTTTTATTGATCTCTTAATCCATTTTGATTTTAAAAAACAAACAACTTTGTCGGTTGTCGGACTTGTGTAAAAAAAAAAAAGAAGCAAACCGTAGTAGTCCGTTAATGTGGTATTTCGTTATGTTTTTATTGTTTTCAAATGTTTGTTTGTTTGTTTGTTCGAGTTCAATAATTTTATTTTTTTTTTTTTTGGAACATGGTCAAAGAAATAAAAAATAAACGAAAATTGTCGTTTGAAATGAAAACAATATTTGGGGGGGCAGGGGGGAGGGCGAAAATGAGGTTTTTATTTTTTATTACGTAATGTTTGCCAAAAAGCGAACGGTTCGAAAAACTCGCGTTCGATTTTCGTAACGTACGCGTGCATACTTTATGCGTTAGAAATTTTCCTTTTAAGAATTAACCTGACCCCTCCCTCTTTCCCCCCGGAAGTCATCGATGGTTCTTCACCTACGATGTCTTCGTGAACGGGTGACGAATGTTGTCCATTTTGTTGTGTGACTCCTGACGTTTTTCTTCGTCTTCGACGACAAACAACTCGTTTTGTGACGTAGTTTCTTGACGACAACAACCGGATAATTTTTTTGTTTCCATCAGAATGAGAAATGAATGTAATGAAAAACAAAAAAAATTGTTTTATTCATGAGAAATGCGTTTTGTACCTAAATTTGGGTATCTTCATTTCTCGTTAAAAGTTGGCAAATGACGTTCGAAACCTGTTTCGCACCGTGAAAACAAACAAACAAACAAACAAAAAGTACGAAAATCAATCGGGAAGTTTTTTTTTTTTTTTTTTTGCAATTGTCTTGTCGGTTCTTTATTAATTAATACTCGTTTTAAAAAAAATGATAATGATAATGATAATAAATTTAAATTCATAATTTTTTTGTTACTGCTATTATTATTATTATTATTATTTCTTTGTTATACACAATTGATTTTGACGGGAGTTTAGGGCGCGGAGTTTCAAGTCACTCTCGGGTACTTGACCCGGAAAAGAATTTTTTTTTTTTTTTTTCTTGTGTTTTCGAAGGTTTTAGAAAAGAACCGTTTTCTGTGGGGGTCTTGTCACGTTTTGACGAAGTAGAGTAAAGTTTACTTAAAACTTTCACATGGAAACATATTGTTCGAGTTAATTTTTAACAAACGGAGGGAGGCGGAGGGGAAAGATCGTCATCATTTCCTTTAAGTCCCAAGACTAATTTTAGGCGGAAGAATATCATCGTGACGATGTTCTCCCATGTTTTTTTTTTAATCTCTCTCTCTCTCTCTCTCTCTCTCTTGTTTGCTCTTCTTTTTTTTTTGTCTTTATCTATCATCTTACGCTCTGTTTTTGTTGTTGTATTTTATTTTAAAGGGAACAGCCGATGTCACGTAACGGTGCGTGCGTGAGTGCGTGTGCGTGTGTTTTTCAATGCTG